AAAATTAAACTTTATTTTAACTTTATTTTCCTGTATATAATTTTAATTGGTCAAAGACTAAATCAAACACAACATTTATATTTTTCATATAAATTAAGAAAATTGATAGCTCTAAATAATATTTTAATATTATTTTTTTATACAATATTATATATCATTTAACAATATAGGCTCTTTTTACTCTATTGATATTTGTAATAAAACAGTTGCAGGAATAAGAAGGTTTTATCAACGGTAAAGAAACGGATCATGTGTCATAACAATCTCCCTTCCTTCTCTTTTATTATTTTTTTTATCATCAATCTCCCTTCCTTCAATGACACCAAGAGAACTTTCAGATCGATTTTTTTTTTTATTTTTAAGAAAAATATTTTACAAAGATCATTGGATATTTATTGGTAAAAGTTCCCAGAGGAGACAGTGATTAGACTTTAGAGTATTAGAATGTGAATAGGGGCTTCTTTGGTGGGACAGGTGACGTGGGCCTCCCATGAACTTGGAGTATTACTATTGGTATTGAAATTTGGCGTGGGTCTTCAAAGTCATCATTTAACGTGGGGTCTCTTGTGGACTTGAATTTGGGGTGGGTCTGGTTCATTTGAAGTGGATTTTCAAAGTCATCATTTGGCGTGCTTCTAGGTCATTTGACGTGGGGGGTGGGGATTAGAGATGGCAATTTCCTCTGTGATTTGTGGAGTTTCGTGGGTTTTTTTGTTATAAAAATGAAAATTTTGAGAATATTTTTTTTATGGGGTTGGAATGAAGGTATTTTTTTTTTATAAAATTTTGTAAGAAATTTCTCTTGCCTTGTGGTGAATCATGGAGGTCCATATAAAATAAATAAATAAATAAATTTATTATATATATTTTTTAAATATATTAATAATTAATTTTTACTTAACCTAATTAATTGATCAATCCTTTTTTTTCAGTTTTTCTAAATCCAATTATACAGTCCAGTCCAACCCATAATCTTCTTAACTTAATTGCTCAAGCCCAACCCACTTTGCTAGTAACCCTAGAACTAGAAGGATTATTTCAAATTTTTGATATTTACGAATCTGCCCTGTGATTCCTCCTCTCCAGACTCCAAACTCCAATCTCCTCTCCTCTGCGTTGTAGCTCACTGGCTTTTTTTCTGTTATTCAATTGGTCAATTCCCTTCAACCTATCATTCTCGGCAACCTTCGAAAGGTAGTGCCCATAACTCTGTTTCTATTCTTTAATCGGCTACTTATAGCTTGTCTAAGTCTGAGTTGTGAGTATTTGTGAGTATCTGAATATCTGTGCTTGATGATTTATTTTGAGGTAAAGCAGATCTCATTCTTTTGGCCTTATTATTTCCAATTTCATTTTCCCTCTGATTGTTCACAAGATTTTCATAATGCGATTTTTATTGTTTACATGCCTACGCAACTTCTTTCTTGCATTCGCAGCGAATGATAATCATATTGTTATTTTAAGGCTCATTCAATCTCTTAATTCGTTCTATCTTCAGTTAATTTCTCAAACGAGAAACGAGTATTGAGTTTTATTTGGTGGGGACTCCGAATACCTGTAGGGACCTATTATTCCCCACAGGTATGGGAACGGAGGTTATTTTTTATCTTTTGTAAAAAATCCCCATGGGGATCCCCATACCCGTCATTAACGAAGATGGTGATGGGGAGGGGATCCTGGCTCTCGTGTGGACCTATTACCATCCCTAGTGGGGACGTGAGGTTTTCAATAGAGGTGATCATGGGTAGATATGGGTGTAGGTATTGTCTATATTTGGTTTGAACATTGATAAGTACAAGATTTTAATATTTAGTATTTATTTGAATATTAAAAATTTATATCTATTATTTAATTTATTGGATATAGGTATATTCATAAATATATTTATATATTTATAAATTTTATATTAAAAATACATAAATTAATATATAATTACAAGTTCATGTATATAATATAAGTTTATATATAAACCAAAATACTTAAGTACATACACTCTCGTATACACAAGTTTATATATACAATAACAAAAGAAATGCAAACAAAAATCCATATAATTTTCATTCAGTTGAATCTTCATTGATAGAAGAAAAGAAAAAAATAAATATTTTAATTTCATAATATTATATTACAAATTAACTATACAAAACTAGAATATAGGTCAGATATACAGGTTAGATATATAGGTCAAGTATACAAGTTAAGTATGCAGGCATTGACCTTCATACCCAATACTTACCAAATACTTAGCAAGTATGCGTTTTTCATACCCGGTATTTACCCACCTCTTCACGAGTACAATTAAAATATCTATCCAAATAGGTCAGATACCTACAGATATCAAATATATCCATACCCGATGCTTAGCCCTAGTTTTCCATGGACTTTGATTTTTTTTTTTTTTTCTTGGGTGAATTCCGTGGACTTCGATTAATATTAGCATTTGACGGTCACTTATTAACAACGAAGCCATGTTCTTTTTCTTCTTGTTTGAATGTTGTCCACGGAAGGATGCTTTTACAAATATAGAAATAAATGATAAGACTGCATAAAATATAAATGCAAAGAAACCAAATTGATGAAATTCATTACATTACTATTTTATACTAATCTCAACAACCTGAACTAATGTTAGAGTAAAATGACTTTAAAATTGGTACAAGAGAGAGGCAATAATAACCAAGAACTTATTTGTAAATTAACAAAATTCATTTTACAGAATGAAATAATACCACAACCAAGTAACCATTTGTTTGTGTTTCGAGTAGGGTTTTCATCCAAGCAAAACTACAAGGATCTTCAAATCTCTAGGCCGAAGGTTGAATGAGCAAATGAAAGCAAAAGCAACTCCACACAATGGCCAACCAATGGACTGACAAATAGGGAAACCATTAGATATAAAGTCTACAAATTAAACTTACCTACCAATGAGTCCTAATAAAGGGAAAGTGGTTTCTGAAAAAAAAATGGTATGAATTCTCCACAAACCAAACAGACTCTTAATCCGAATGATAAACACAACAACACTATAGTAGTATAGCCGTTGTGACCAAACCACCAAACTAGCCATCCACAAAAACCATGAACTACCAATCAATTTTCGTCTCCATTTTTCTTTTCATGAAGTCATTCCAATTTCATAAGGGAACAAAAGCAAGTGAAATTATTTTAATCTCTTTTCCATAAGAAAACACCATTTCTCTATAATTGATACTTCAAAATTGATGAGTTGAATTTTCATATATAATAATGTAAAAATTTTGCTTTAAAATATTTAAATGAGTTCTATGAAATTTTACTTGATTTTACTTAAGTTTCATTTATTATGCAGAAAAAAACTTGATTGAAATATATAAAGTTAAAACCCTATTTTGGTATTTCTACTTTGGTAA